TCCCTCCAGTCACTAACATCACTCTAGAAACCTTCCCAGCTCAGCTCCCTTGGAGCCCTGAGACCCTCTGTACAGGTCTGCTTTCTCACCACTAGTCAGTAAGCCCTTGGATCCAAACTTCTTTCTGACGTACACATCTGCTATCCATCATCGTGTATCCCCTCACTCTCCTCTTGCCTCATATCCCTTCAGATTTTCCCACATTCTTTTCCTCTTGGCTTCCTTCATCTTCCTAATCCCTTCAGCACCCTCCTCCTCACCTTTGTGGAAGTAGCTTCATGCTGAGGAAGGAGAACAGCTTTCACAGGATCTTGGTCCAAGTCCTGCCCCTACTCTCCTTGTAACATGATGTCCTGCATGTGACAATCTTGTGGAGCTTCAGATTTCCACCTGTGAAAATTCCCACATAGGATTGCTTTAGGGACCCAAGGAAACAAACCTTTATTCCTGTGCCTTTATTTCCATCTCCATGTAAAAGGCCTTGACAGCTTTTACACCAATTAAATTGAATATTTTACCTATGTATAGTGGAACAAGACTGAGGAATTTAACTCACAGGCTTTAAGGAAACTAAATGTTGACCTAATAATAGTGCAGATGTTTGTTGTTGGTTTAATAACAAATTTTTCTTTGGAAGGAAATACTAGGTGATGGTATTTTCTTCTGAGTCTTAGACTTCTGTGTCTATAATAAATCATCCCAGTAAACTGTAAAATTTTCTAAGGCAAAGTGGGCAAAGTTTTATGGTAAGGGCCACATACTAAATATACTAAATACAAATAGGCATAGCAGCCCATATGGTCTCTGTGACAGCTACTCAACTCTGCTGCTGTAGCACAGTGATGCACAAATGAATGAGCTGACTATGTCCCAGTAAAACTTTATTCACACAAACAGGTGGCAAGCTACTTTTGGCCCCTGGACTCTGGTTAACCAGTTCTTGCTCTGGGGCATGAATGGAGATTACAGCGACAATAAATGATTAACAAAGTCAGAAATTATCAGTGAGGTACAGGATTCTTTTGTGATAATTCTGGAATCATTAAGGCTTTTTGGTTAATGAACATCATCGTGTGTGTGTGTGTGTGTGTGTGTGTGTGTGTGTACATGGGTGTGTGCATGTGTGTGCCTGTATAAGTTCTCCTGACAGAAATATTTACTATATATCCCCAAATCAGAAGCAGATAGTAAACAGGCCTTTGAAAGCATATTTGGCTTCTATAGATTTGTTGGAAGTTGGTGAACCCATTCTGGCTTTTGGAACTCCTGGAGCAGAGAAATCAGAAAGCCAGAGAGAACAGGGATAACTCTCATTAATTGAGCTGCCCTTCTCATCACAAACTATGACCAGAATTCTCCACATTTTAAGTGAAGGTTCAATTGAGAGAGGATGAGTGCTTAGCCCACACCCACACTTAGGTCATAGGCTGCTTTCCCCGTGGCCACAGCAGTCCCCTCAACAAAAGTGACTGCCTTTCCCTGAGACACCCACCTTTCTCCAGATTGAAAACCAGAGCAGGTAAAATGGTCTCTTCTTCCTTCTATTTTTACTTTTTAGGAGCTGTTTCAAACACCAAACAATAAATACATCCTGAGTCACCCCATACTGTGTGCTAGGCATAAAGCTTTCATTATATTATACTAGAGGCCTGGTGTATGAAATTTGTGCACTGGAGGCAGAGTCTCTCAGCCCAGCTTGCACCTTCTTTAATCTGGAATCCCTCTTACAATCCGGGACTGCAGGCTCCCAAGTAATCGCCTGCCTGCCTGCCTGCCTGGTTGCCCCTAACTGCTTCTTGCCTGCCAGTCTGGTCACCCCCTAACCACTCCCCTGCCAGCCAATTGCCCCCAACTTCCCTCCCCTGCCAGCTTGGTTGCCCCCAATGGCCCTCTCCTGCTGGCCTGGTCACCCCTAACTGCTCTCCTCTGCAAGCCTGGTCCCCATTAACTGCCCACCCCTGCTGGCCATCTTGTGATCACATGGGGATGGTGATCTTGTGTGAGGACCTGATGGTCAATTTGCATATTACCTCTTTATTATATAGGATTTTATTTTTTAATATATTTTTATTGATTTCAGAAAGGAAAGGAGAGGGGGAGAGAGATAGAAACATTAATGAAGAGAACGAATCATTAATTGGCTGCCTCCTGCATGCCCCAGACTGGGTATGGAGTCCACAACCCAGGCATGTGCCCTGACCAGGAATTAAACCCGGGATCCTTCAGTCAGCAGGCCAATGCTCTATCCACTGAACCATGCCAGTCAGGCCTTCTATCATATTTTAAAATTTCTTTTCTTTCCATTTCTAAAACTAAACTGCAAAGAGACAAGAAAATGAAAGCTCAGACAATTAAGAAATTTGTGTAAAACATCACCAATAACTAACTGTTAAGTGGTAACTTAAACACAGTTCTCACGAACTGCAAAGTGTTCTCTATACATACAACTGCTGTGGAGCAATGGCTAACACCGCAGGCTCTCAAGCCATACTGACTGGGTTCAAATCTCAATTACACTACTCACTAGCTGCACCACCTTTAACAGCCCTGTGTCTTAGTTTTCTATTTTATCAAACTAGAATGATATGTCCCCCCACAAATGCAGTTTGTACTAAGTAATGAAGCAATAACGGGCACATAATAAACAGCCGGGGGACTGGCTCTTTCTATGATCACAGCAGTCTCTCATTCATGCTGTATCCCTAGCACTTAGAATAACCCATAGCACATACTAGTAGTAGGCAATATTGTTGTTTAAATGAAAATTGTTCAAACAAACTATTCTTTGAATTAGGTCATTTCTGGGTTCAAAGCCAACTTTTTTTTGTATCGTGTGAATTTGATAGGTCAAATTTATGAGTCTTTGAAGTCATCATTTGAAATGTAGTAAAGGAAACTAGTAATTGTCTTATTTATTTCAATGTTCCCGACAAAAGTGGATGTTAATACAAAGGTGATGCTGAGGATCATAGTATACAGCACACGGCACATTCACATATGTTCTAGTTCTTTGCTATTCCCGAAGGAGTGTCCTTATGTAATTCATTCTAAAATTTCCTTCATCCTTCTTTTTTTATTTTTCTTTCTTTCTTTTTTTTTTTTTTTTAAGATCTAGGTCTGTCATTATCACATAGATTTTTATCTCTAAAAGTTTATTTGTACTAAATTTGTGTCCTACTTAATACTGTGTATTTTAAATCCAAGCTAGTACTTTGTGACAACAGCTGCTGGGAGCTGCTTAATAAATGAATTACAGTCCTATTCAGCTGGCAAGATTGCTTTTGATGCCTGCATTTCAACAATGATGGGGGTCCAGAGGGCAACTTTGCCTCCAGAGGGAAGGGGGCCCTCAGCCCACAGTGGACCATAGACAGAGAGGAGCACACTCAGGAAATATGGGGGCACAAGTGCATTTGGAACAATCAGCTTTTTCAGGTAGAATTTCATGCAGGCTTCTCAGAAGCTGAGACCTGTAGCCCCAAGGACACCATCTAGACACTGTCGCTTCTTGGCAGAAAACCATTTTTAAAGCTTTATCAGATTTATAATAACATTCATTCTGAGTGGTGATTAACTGATATCCCTAACACAGCAAAGCACTGGGGTTCTAATCTTTCTCCCTGTCTTACACTGTGTAAATTATTTTCATTAAGATTAAGTATCTCACTAGAGTGACTTATGCAACCACTGCCTCAGCAGGCTCTATCCCAACAGTACATGGACCAAAGAATATTTAAAGACCTCAGCAATTGCAGATGCTAACCCAAAGCATCATTTTTGTTTGTTTTAATGTAGTATCCTCTACATGTTTTGTTTAAAACAAAGTGAATATGTATTGCTCTTGAAGTTTCTTCTGTTTACAATCAAAATGATGTACACACTTAGTCTGATATGTTCTTTCTTCAAGTAAAGAAGAATCAAATATGGAATACATTTTGGAATAAGTATAACTGAAAATTTTGCCTCAGTTTAAATTATTGGTGCATTTTCTTACCTTATAAACTAAACTGTAAGTTAAAGAATATTGAATTTCTACATACAATGAAACTTTGATTTTTCAGGAGCCCATTGGTAAAATATTGTTATGAGATTAACGTATGAAATAAGAATTTAGTCCTACCTAGAGTAATAAAGATAAATAAGATTTACCCTGAGATAGTTTATATGTAAAGCATGATGATGAGTCTGGAAACATGGTAAAATATAACAACATTTAATATTTTATTGAAATAACAGCTAAAAAGTTGTTATGCATGATGAATTATGTACTATGAATCTTACTTGTATTATTTTATTTCATTCTTAGATAGTATTATTACCCTCATTTGCTGATGAAGGGAAAGAATAAAAGGGATTTTTAAAGGTCAGGTAATTTGCCAGAGGTTGCAAGGCTAGGGAAATTGCAGAGCCAAGATTCAAAACTAGATGATTTGCCTCAGAAGCCTGAATTCTAGCCTATGACACAAGCCTACATCATTAATAAGACTGGCCATAAACACATGTTTTGGTTGTGTATGAAATGGTTGCATATGACAACCTATACATATAATTCTATTATAGGTAACAAACAGATAATACAATTGCATACAGAATAGAAATAAAAATAAAACATTTGCCTTGTGTCCTTAAAAAAGCAATTCTAACCTTTTAGAGGGCAGAATTTCAGGGAATGATAACTTCACAGTACTCTATAAACTCCAGTTTTGTTTCTGCATTCTAGATTAGTATTTCTGTATCTTATTAATCAACCAATTAAAATTCCTATACATATTGTTATTTCTTTTTAGCTAGACATAACAAATCTGAGCCTCAAAGAAGTTAAGAAAATGGAGTACCATCATGTAGCTAGTTGGGAGTAGAAATGATATTCAACCCAATTCTTATGACTTCAAGTGTAATACAGCAAATTATTTTCCACCTCCTTCGGTAAGATGACAGAGAGAGGACAAAATTGGTTTGTGAAATATACTGAGCACTACATTTGTTCTTTCTTCGCATAGGGCGTTACCCTCAGGAGAACAAGGGAACCTACATCCCAGTTCCTGTCGTTCCTGAGCTGCGAAGTGGCAAATGGGGGGCCAAAGTCATCAGCAGAGAGGACAGATCTGTCCGGCTGTCCATCCAGTCTTCCCCTGAGTGCATTGTGGGGAAATTCCGCATGTACGTTGCCGTCTGGACGCCCTATGGTATACTCCGCACCAGCCGGAATCCAGAAACCGACACCTACATTCTCTTCAATCCTTGGTGTGAAGGTAAAGGGCAGGCGTCTGTTTTTCTAAAAACAATTCCTATAGTTACGATGTTTCTCTTTTTTGAAATTATAGCAGAGTTATTGTGGAAGACATATTTCTTTTCTACATACATTTCCCCCACACACGATTAAAAGACAGAAAAAAAAATGAGAATTTTGTCCTTAAAGTATATGAGAACAAAACCTGTATACATAACATTTATGCTGCTACACTTTTATTCCAGGTAAAACAAAAGATTGCCTGAAGTTTCACAATTAGTTAATTGTTGAATTATATTTTTATGGCATGGTCTTTGTGTTTGTGATTGCTCTGTGAACAAAATAGAATTATGAAACCTGACTTTCAAAACTATTAAAATCCATAATCTGGATTTAGAAAAATACAATAAAATTGTTCCTGTCCATAGTGGAACTAATTTCACTATCTAATTCAAGAATAGAAAAGTCTAAGTGATCCTATAAGTTTGTTTCTATGCACAGTGGATGCAAATTTCATAAGCCAAAAGTCTGGATGTGTAAACATATAACTTTATTTTAATGGAACACAACTTAATCTTTGCTGCTTTTTTTATTCTTCTTTCTGTCGGCTGCAGTTTAACCTAGTTTTACTTAAAGAAACTGAACCAAGTCCAAGAATTTATCAATTCAGTTTAAAAACTCAGTTCTACACAATATGTTTTCCCCATCCCCATGTCTATCCTTCTGCCTCCACTCTGGCATGGACTGATTTTAGTTCCAGAGGCAGCAGCATGATGGAAAGAAACCACTTTTAGATCTTGAGAAATAAGTAATGAAACATGTAAAATCTGACATAGCGTGGGAGACTTCTCACATCATCTGCCCCACATGCATTTCTCTTTAAAATCTTCCAAAATGACTTAAAGGTATTGCTAATTTTGAATGGCTCTTGTTTGTGACAGGTGCATTTGAATCAGTGTTGATCTGAACATAGACAATAAGTGAAGAACAATGTTTTCTACTTTATGTAACATTAACCTGGATCCTACTGACCTTTTCTTTGAATTATCTATTCCACAAATGTTGGTAGATGGCACTGAGCTAATTCTACTAGTATAATCCCCACCCACCACCCTATTATCTTGTACCAAATAGCCTATCTGTGTGACAGATGTTCAAGGGTGATGGTAACGTGTTAACTGAGCCATATGCAGTTCAAAGGTGCACAGTCCTGCTTACAGTCATCTTGTTAACCAGATAAAAGGCGTTCTGCAACTGAGTGAATGCTATGTTACTTTCAGGGATGGAAAAGACTGAGGCATAGAGACAAACTAAGATTTTGAAAATATCAAGTTAGGGATAACTTTAGAAACCAAACAGAAACTACATTGGTAGCACTGGAGTGGAGAAGATGGATTGGAGATCTACTTTGGACTTAGAACAGAAAGTGCAGAGAGATTACATGGGAGGTGAAGAAGAGGTGCAGTCAATAATTACTCCATGTAGTCCAGCTGCCATGGCTCAGTGGTTGAGCATTGACCTATGAACCCAGAGGTCATGGTTAGATTGCCAATCAGGGCACATGCCCGGGTTGCAGGCTTGATCCCATTGTTGGGCATGCAGGAGGCAGCTGATCAATGATTCTCTCTCATCTTTGATATTTCGATCTCTCTCTCTCTCTCCCTCTTCCCTTCTCTACGAAATCCATAAAATATATTTAAAACAAAGAATTATTCTTTATATCTGGTTTAACCAACTGGCTTGCCATTTTCAGAACTGCAATCAGAAGAACATGCTGTCACAGAGGCAGTTACATTGGTTTATTCAAGAAGGCAGCAATCAGCTCCTTGGAGAGCTGCTGATGAGTTGAATGATAAGGAAAAACAGTGGTCATGTGTTTGGAAAATATACAAGAAAAACTAGGGAATAAAAAACAGATCGTTTTATTAGAGAAAGAAGCCAGAGAAGTGGGCTTGGGCTACAGGTGAGGAAGTGGAGATAACAGGCATTGCCATTTCAGTCAGGAAGACTTTCTGTGACACCAAGATGCTGATATGAGCATCAAAGGAGAATTTTTTAAAACAGGAGAGAGTAGGAATAATCTTATGGTGATAGAGACAAACCTGGAAAAGGGCTCACTGCCAAGAGAGAGGATAATGGCTCAAATCCTTGGATGCACATTGGAATGACCTGGGCAGCTTTGAAAATTACTGATGCCTCAGTCTCCCATTCAAACATCCTGAGGTAACTTGTCTGGAGTGCAGCATTGGCCTTGCGGACCTTAAAAAGCATTTCAGGGGATCCTTTGAGCCAAGGTTGAGAAGCCCTGACTTTCCAGAATGGAATCCTTGAGGGGGATGGATGTAGGGAATAGAGATCTGAAGGGCTTGACAGATGGAGCTGTCCACCCTACATTATAACAGGAATAAAACAGGAGGTGGGCAAAAACATGGGTTTCTAGAGTTAAGGAGGAGGATGACGTTGTTGCCACTTTGTGATTCTCTTTTGCTCAGTGAAGTGTAAAGCAAAGTCAACTGTGGAGAATGAGAAGCAAGGAAAGAGTATTAGAGGCTTAAACATGAGTCGGGAGTGGGAAGTGGTGGGTCCTCTCTGTTCCCCAGAACACAGGGACACTACTGCAATCTCCTCCAGCCCCCGAATCCCTTGGCCTGTGAAAGTCCAAACATTTCTGCAAATCCCTTTATTAAATTATGGGGTTTCTGTCCTTAATTCCATCTCCACCTCCAGGAATCCTATTTCTCCCAGTGCTGATACCAATGATGCCTCAAAAACAACAATGCTCCTCCAAAAAACATTCCACGAAGCATCCAGAATGTTTAGAAATTAGTTGCAATTTGATGTGGAGGGTGAGGGGTGGGAAAATTTACTCTGGCTCTGAAACTTGATACATATCAGAATCACCTGGAGGGCTTGTTAAAACTGATTTTTGAGCAGCATCCCAAGGTTGAGCAGATCTGGGGTGGGGCTTGAGAATTTGCATTTGTAACCAGTTCCCTGGAGATGGTAGTGCTGATAGCCAGGGACCACACTTATAAAACCACTGGCTCATGTAATAACCATCAATCAATAAATACAAAATGCAGGAGAGTATTTTTTTTTTACTCTTAAAATTGTGTTGACTCCTCCTTACACCTAACCACAAGCTCTCCCTATCTCATTGCCTCTTTGTTTGCCCTTTCTGTTATTCCTTGTTCTCTGAAAGTCTCTCCCATCCTCTCTTCAAAGAAAACTCTTTGTTTTCTCATGCAGAGCAGTTCAGCAACCTTTTTTATTTTGTTGTTTGTGCTTCCTCCAATAGTCAGGTTTTTAGGGACTCCATATTTTTTTAAGACCATTCCATCTTTCCAGAAAAAATCTGGTTTCAGCTTTTAAGATAATAACTTTTTATTTTTTAATCTATTTTATTGATTTTTTTACAGAGAGGAAGAGAGAGGGATAGAGAGTTAGAAACATTGATGAGAGAGAAACATCGATCAGCTGCCTCCTGCAACCCTAACTGGAGAAGTGCCCGCAACCAAGGTACATGCCCTTGACCAGAATTGAACCTGGGACCTTTCAGTCTGTAGGCGGATGCTCTATCCACTGAGCCAAACCGGTTTCGGCTAAGATAATAACTTTTTATATTCCAATGTCAATATTCACTTATATCTCCCAGGGAATGTTAATGAAATGAGAGAAAGAAGCCCTCTTCTCTTTTAACTTATTGTGTGATTTTCCCCAGCCTAATACAAGCTGAGGTGTAACCCAGAAAACGGGATCTATGTCATGAACCCCAGACACACTCAAATACATGGTTGCCTGACAAACACCCAGTTTGTGCTTATATATGCTAATTCATAACAAGGGACTCTTGAAGATACGGTCTGACAATTGGAAAGTAGATAAAAAGAGAGGGGTTTGGCCATTAGCCAGGTGGGAAAGGTAACAGAAGGGAAAATCAGAAACTGTCAAAAGAGAGCAACATGAGCATGATGCTGAAAACAGCACACTCGTTGCAGAAGTGGCATCCAAGTTGGCTTAGGACACTGGGTTGAAGTTATAGGGGTATGTACAGTACTTATTAATAAAGGCATGCTCAGCTGTCTTCCAATGGGTCCTTCAGCTTGCTTTGTATTCATAGACGATCTATTCTTAATCACTAAATCATTAATGGGGATCAATAGCAGCAATCCCACACTAGTGAGGGCAGGAGGGATGAAGGGAGAATTATTGGCTAGATTTTTTAATTTAATAGCACCAAATGGGCTTCATATCAATTCCAGGAGGGAGCCCTTCTCCAAGAGGGTGGAAAGAGAACTGTACCCACAAAGGTAGCAGGAGTGAGTCGACAGTTTTGTGAATTCTGATTATTCAGAAACTCTGTATTATTGAATGTAGTTTACTACTTAAATACACAATGTTCCAGATTGGTAGTTTAGCCTTAGTGCCAGAGAGTATGTTCTGAAAGATTTAGTTGCCCCATACCTATGCTCTATCCTTCATCCAGACCAGTATTTCATTGGTTGAGCATCATTTATTATTATGGAATATTTCTTTTCTTGGTGACTTGTTTCCTCCCATATTTTCTATCATTGATTTTCTTTACCTCAACCAGCCTTGTATATAGCTCCTAGCACAGTACGTAGGACATGCTTAATGTTTAATGTATATTTGCCTCATTGATTTAATAATTCCAAATAAATGCTTTTTAGGTTCACACCACCTACCATCATAGGTAAGTTGTAAATGTAATCTCACACTGAACCATCTTGAAAAATGTCAAAAAAAACTATATAGTGTATGTGGGAGTGTGTTTGTGGGAACATGTGTGTATGGATTTTTCTGTCTCAGCATCTGACACCAAATTAGCACTTGGTATTTCTACCTATAGATTCCATGTGATTATTTTGTAATTTCCTTGAAACCAAGAAGTCAATTATATTTAATGTAAATAAATCAATAATTTTCTAAGTATCTGGGTGCTTTTAATAGGTAGTAACCAAATATGACCAGTTTTTATTTTATTATGAAATTCATCCTTAT